TTCTCGTTAATATCACTATCAACATGATTTAAAACCAATTCAAATAGGTTGATATTAACGAGGGTAACCTGTATTTCCAAAGATTTAGATTTTTTATCCAAGTATTGGCTAATATTCAAATAAAATTTTGCAATTTCATATCCAAAAGTTTCCGGGTCGCTGTTCGGTAGTAAATGGGCGTCACGCGCTTCGGTTATAAATTTATAATTTACTGAAAAAATCGGAAGACCGGGTCCGGTTAAGCAACACCCAACTATCCGGCAGGTACTATCGCTATGTGAAACTAAATTGTGACTATCTAAAATCTGACTGGCTATTGCATAACCAATCAGATTTTATATAATCACCAGTTTCACCAACACAATTTAGTTTCACCAGCAACTCTTGACGGAAAAAATTGCCGCAGTTTATTATTAAAATCATGTGATATGTAAAAATTTTATTTTTTTAAAATTCTTAAATTGTTATGCCCGAAAATTACATAAAAAAACAAAATTTCATATTGCAAATTTAATTAAAAATGATAGTGAAAATGATAGTGTACTTTCTTCTTGTTATCAGATTCGGATGATTCATGAAACTATGAAAGGTGGTATAAAATATGGTGCCGCTTGATTAGTAATAGACTTTAAAGATGGTTGTTGGCCTGATAACCTTGGAATACGGGATCTAAATGTTGGTTTCTTGCTAAAATTAGATCCCGTTGGGATAGATGTTGAATTACTCGAATCTACGAATAATAGCGTAATTAAAATATTACTAGTAGTTAGAATATTGTTCAAACCCATTATTATGTGTAAATATTTCTGTTCCCGTCATTATGTTTGGATCTAAAAAAAACAAATCAAATCAACGAATGCTATTATTTTATAATTACAGTAAGATAGTCACAAAAAGTTGATTTTTCGTTTTGCATTCCATGGATTTCAAAATTCCCAGTCGGTCGGTTGGATTTTTTTTTTTGATCTACAGTAAATTAATAGACTTATGTTCACGTCTAAGATCGCAAAAGTTAATTTTTCGCTTTGTATAATATGGAATCAGAAATTGGATTTTTTCTGTTAGTATCAGGTGATACCGGAGTAATTTATGAAAAAAAAATTAAATGGCAAAAATAGAATAATTGGCGCAATTAAGGCTTAAAAAAAAAATTGAGAAATTGAAAAAATGAGCCGGCGGGTAATGCAAAACGCAAAAATAACTTTGTTGGCCCAATAAATACCATCATACATTTCGGAATTGTCTTTGTAACGCTTTTTGGATTTGTAAGAATACCCATGTATCCAAGATATTATTTATGCAATAACTTTTTTTTTTTATTCAACTAGACCAATTCACCAATTCACGTAATAAATGATTTGTTTATAAAGAAAAAAAAAAATAATTTAGCAAATATCTGGTGTAAAATTGTTATTCGTGTGATAAACCTGAAAAAAAAAGCTATTCGCAAAAAATATTCACAAAAGACAATCATTTGCCGTTTTTCTGTTAAAAACAAAAGAGCCTTTCGTGTTATAAGGGTTCAAAGATATTATAGCGTGACAAGTATTTTAATAAAAGCATTTGCATACAGTTTTAGAAAATGTTGTCACAAAACATGTCATTCTATAACGTACGTTTATTCGTCTGACGAATGCATTGAATGTAACATTTTAAGGCAAATAACGTTTATTAAAATGTTTTTTAAGTGAATGGCGTCTTTCTTTAAATGTTAAAACATTTTAAATAATTTTGTTAAATAATTGTTACGCGTATGACGTATTCAAAAATTTCGCGAATGACGTTTTCCAATCTATGTTACACAAATTTATTTAAACTGCGTTATGTGAAGTTTTCTTAAAAAAAGGGTTGCGCAAGCGTTATTTTTCCACTATGCATATTATGCTTCTATAAATGTTATACAACGGTGTTTTTTGATAGTTATATTGTTACAAATAAAACATGTATTAATATCCTTTATTCAGAAACAGTTAGTTATAGCAAATCAGAAAAGTTATAAAGAATAATTATAAAAGAATCAACATACCTATATTTGAACCTTTGCATTTTATTGGTAAGGGAAGAATTTATAAGGGTTCATAATACCATTTGGATCAATATTATGTTTTATTTTTCTCATAATGTCTACCATCGCTTTTGGCTTAGAATGTTCTAATATTTTTGCTTTTATTAGACCTAAACCATGTTCTATTTAATGTGCACAAACATAAAATTAAAAAAAAAATAAACCCTAGATAAAATTAAATGAATAAACATAAATTATATATAAACCTGCTGATAAAGACCCTTTGTATTGATCTAAATCAAAATTCAAATAATAGTAAATATTTTATTATTATTGTCAGTAAAAAATTGTAGAACTGTGCTCACCTGTCCATTCACGAATACATGATTCAATCAGCCTAATGATTTCTAGAGAATATGATTTGGAAGTGATCGACAAATGCAAATTACCTACGTACATACCGATAACAATGAAATATTAAAAAAAGCAGTCATGGTAAACTTATCTTACATTAGTAGTAGGTGCCAGTATCTTTGTACTTTAGAAACTCACCATCCCCGATGTGTCCAAATCCGATAACATCCACTACATTATTACCAAATAAGCCTGCATCTTTTAATCGACTAGTAACATCTTCAACAATCTCGTACATCACCGAGATTGGTATAGATATATCATAAAAGTAAGCAGAGCCAACCTTCATGCAAGCATCAGGAATTCCTTCCCGTATTGACCAGAGATTTTTCATTTGTGTATTGTCTTGAGCTATAACGCCATTCTCAACGATTCCTTTTGCCATGACAGTTTCCAAGAAATCGGAGAGTTTCTAAGAATAAGATCAAATAAACGATCAATTCTTATTTTATAAGTATTAAGAAAGCACTATTAATAACTTACTTCTTCATCATGATCCTTATTGGAACCACCAGTTTCTATTAATGCATAAAAAGGATATTCATCCCCTAAAGGAAAATTTGTACCCTGTGCTAGATGCGTTTTTACTAACTTAAGCGACAGAACATCCCAAAACTCGAATGCTAATATACCGCATTGTGAGATTTTATTTTTTTTAAAAAAATTGTAGACTCATTAAATTTAAAGAATTTATTTCTTGGTACCAGATAAAATTTCTGTCAATATTTCTTTTGATGCAATAAATGCATCTTGGACATTTTTAAAGGATTTTAGACCAAGTACAGCAACATTAACTGCCTATTAAGTAAATAAGTTACGACATTGAATGTATAATATTAACGATATGAAAGAATAGGTTCTCACAAACCTTGTGACGCCTTGGTGTCAAAATTGAAACACCTGTAATGATTCCTAAAGTGCCCTCCGAACCAATAAAGAGCTGTTTAATGTCATAACCTAATTTGATAATAACAATTTAGAATTTTATATGTGGTATTACAACTACAGATAAAAATAACTCACCGGTATTGTCTTTACGGAGGGTTGAAAGATTATTTAATATAGTCCCATCAGGAAGTACCTACTTAAAATATCAGGTATTATTTTTAGCAGAATAATAATAATTTTATGGATTCATACCACTTCTAATCCCAGTATAGAGCCATGTAGGGAACCATATCTCAAGTATCTAACCCCACCAGCGTTTGTAGCAACATTTCCACCAATATGACAGCTAGTATTTTACATCAAACTGCAGTTAGTAACATAGAAAACAATAAAAATAAAGAAAATTTATTTACCTCCCCTTGGAACCTATATCTAAGGGCATCATATGTTCTCTTTCTGCGAGATAGTTGTCGAGGATCTCAAGAATGCACCCTGAATCACATGTAAGAGTACCTTTATGCAGGAAAATGCATAACACAATTCAAAGTAAGAAATATTATCATTTATTCGTTACGTTGAAACTTTTGCCAACTTATACCGGAAATGGGATCAAAGTCTCGTATTTGATTTAAATTCTTGGTGCTAATAATAATTTCATCAAATATCGGTGTGCCGCCACCTAAATAAATAATGAAATATCTTTTAAATATTAATAAAAAAGAATCTTATTTTCTAGAATTTGAACATCCTTACCAACTAGACCAGTATTTCCACCCTGGGGCACAATCGCCAGTTTTTTCTCATTACAGTATTTAACTATATTGGAAACTTGCTCAGTAGTTTTAGGCTTTGCAACTAATTTGGATTTACCCCTGTGTATTCTCAACCAATCGATGTTGTAAGGCATTAGATCATCGTAATTATTATCATTTTCAATTATTAATCCATTTGATGGTAGAATTGATTTAAAATATGAAATATCATCTTGAGAAAGCTTTTAGGATTTCGAAATTCAAGTTAGCAACATGAAATAAAATAAAGCAATTTTATTATTTTAAAGCATACAATCTTAAAATTCGGATTCCTTTTTAAATATGAATACGCATCAGTTGTGAATTTAACTTCATTTGAAATATTCTTTTTCAGAACATCTGCAGCATTGTTTTCAAGACTTGCATAGTTTCGTTGACTGTTAAAAGTAGTTATGGCAGCATTCGTAAAACGACATGAAAAAAAATTTTTATGCGAAGTTAATCGAGATAAATTTCGTGAAATTTTTATTATCGTCATCGTTAAGCAAAAAAATTGATCTGAATCTGAATGTATAATATCACAAATCAATAAATACACGATGTGTATGTTTGTAGTGCAGATCTGAACTACGAATCAGATTTCAAGATTAGGTATAGCAGTAACACGATCAGGAAGATTCAAAACTTTGTAAAAATCGCTTATTTCCCCAAAATTCGTATAAACAACCACTTTTTGTGCTTTAACAGTTTCCTTGCTCTAAACCTTTTTAACCCCAACCCTGACCCTAGCCCTAACATAAATGAACTTTAAAGAATTTGTCTGCGCCACAAACCTGGTACACATTACCCAAGTGCATACGGCATATATATAATGGAATGGGCGTGGGAATTTATTATAAAAAACCTGTTCTGCAATTAGTGATGCAACCCAAACTATTTGTGACGTCCTAAACCATGCGATAATTTGTGTATAACATAGTTTCAGTAATAGCGATAGGAAAAAAACAGCCGAAACTAATGCTATACTGGTTTGGGTTACATCTATATCTGCAATGGTTTGCTGAAGATTCGATAACAATAAAGGAATTTTAATCAAATTTACTTTATCTCGATTAATGTATTGTGTATTTTAAAGTAAAATCCCAAATCAAAATGTAACTTTGTTTCGTAGGATATTAAAAATCACAAATCACAAGCTCTTAAGACAGCATTTTTGGAATGTTGTATCATATAGGGGCTTTGCAGTAGAAAGGGCCTAAATGCTAGATATAATATATATAGCATTTAGGCCTTTTCTACTGCAAAGACCTTATATTATATTGAAAGTAAGTCCAGGAAATAATATCGATATATCAGTATTACAATAAACAAAAGATTCAATTGATATAAGTGCATATTTTTTTACAGCGAAATCTGTATTTGCTGCCCAAATCCTATATTTGCACAATATCAAGAATATTTGTTAATTTGCAATTGCTTTTGTTTGGATTGGGTTTTCCAGTAGAGCATAACCTACTTTTATTGTATTTACAAGTCGCAGGCGGCCGGTGTGAGTTACGAAGTAGTTGAGACTATTTATGAGTTAATTTTTAAGTATCATAATACTTGTTATATTTGATACTGTACAATTGTCAGCATAAATTATCCCTTAAAAGGTTTTGCAGGCAAATTTGCCTGCAATTTTGAAAAAAAATTAATTTTTTTAAAGAAAATTAAGTATTAAT